ATTGTTTGATGCGAAGTCACTCAATGCCAAATTCTTGATTGGCTATGTGTACGCTAACTATGGACAAGATCTAGATGGAAGAAAATCTACAACGGGTTATGTATTTACACTTGGAGGTGGGTGCATAAGTTTGAGCTCTACTTTGTAGAAGTGTGTAGCTCAGTCAACTACTAAGGCCGAGTATGTGGCAGCAGCATAAGCAGCGAAGGAAGCTATTTGGTTGGATAGGCTTGATGCGGAAATGGGATTGTCACATGATATTGTGAATCTCCATTGCGACAGTCAAAGTGCCTTACACCTTGTTGTAAATCAGGTGATGAACAGTCGGGTGAAGCACATTGACATTCGGTATCACTTTATCAGACAGACGGTTTCTCATAAGAAGATTGAGCTAGTCAAGATTGACGGTAAACTCAATCCAGCCGATGCCTTTACCAAAGTATCTACTTTGGAGAGTTTTGCGAGACATCGTTCGACATTACAGATTGTGGATGTAGAACAAAAGTAGAGTATCTTGACATCAGTTAGTTCAATCTTTGTATGTGATTTTAGCTCATCCTTTTAGGCTACGGCTTAGTTATAGTTAACTCTAGTTTACAGAGGGAAGTTCTCATTGTTCCCGTGGACAAAGCCTCAGTGTAGGTGAACCACGTTATCTCTTGGTGTCGACTTCTCTTGTGCGCGTATGTCTCACTGTGTATGCCTTCTATGTTTAACAATTGCCAAGTATTAGGAACTAATCAAACTTACTATGATTAATCTTTGTAAAAGTAAGGAAGATAAGAATTGTAATTTGTTGCTATAGTAAATTTTCAAGGTGTATATATAGAAAGATAGGAAAGAAAATCTCAAACAAGTTTAGAGATTTTATATGTATAGACTTGTTTCATGTATGAAAGAGTGACGTTTTTCAACATTTGGAGTGTCAATATATGTGTGACTTTGAGTGATGAATTGAGGAAATGCGTGAAAGGATGTTTGGGTTATGAATATGAGGACGAATTCTAGTCTTCTGGAATCATGATGAGGCGCTGCAAAGCCATCTGAGATAAACCTAAGTGAGAGTTAGCCCAGTCCTTCTTGTTCTTTAGATTTTTTTGTATCTCCCGATTCATGTTTCTTAACCAAAATTCAAAGATTAATGCGTTCAAAATCTTCGTTGCAACTACTAGACGAGCTTAGAAGCCTATAATTTCAAGCTGCATAGACAACATAGTTTGATCGACAAAATATTGCGACGGCCAGGAGATTACGAGCTGAGAAGAATAGAACAGCCAACAATGTGGCTCGTGCATAAAATGATAGCATGACGACACATCCACGAGAGATCAAAGAAACATACATGTTTTCAAGACCTAAACACAATGACGATTATGAAAATTTATCGGTTCTGATCTAGACACAATAATACTGATGGATGAATGGATAAATGAACAAATAGCTTCGAGTACTCTCTTGATCCTAATCGAGCTATGACTACTTTTGCTTCTTTGTCCTCTTACCAAAGGCTTCTTTTTATCTTGCGGCCGGAAATGAATTGGTATGTTGTCTAGGATGACTCTCCCTTGGCCACAATCACTTGCTTTCAAATATTCTGAATTTCCACAAACTTTCCTGACAGTATTCAATTTTCCAAATTTTCATGAACTTTATTAGTCTAAATTTTGTCGAACTTGAGACAACTCAAACTTTGAACTTAGACGCAACTTATAGGAAAATAAACCGTGAAACTTTTCTGACAGAATCTACATCACCGTCACAAAACCATCACTTTAAAGAAAACTGTCACATCCAAGGAAACTGTGAGCAAAGTTTGCTTTCCACTTAGACAACACAAAACCTGTCACCCACACTATGACAAAATGCAACCAGCTTTGATTCCAATTTGTTAGGGTTTAAAACGAGAAACATCAATAGTGAGTAAGTCTGGTAACACCATAGTCAATAGTCAACTCACAAGATGCAACGTATATCGTGGTTCATCCTTTGAAGGACTACATCGACGGGGAAAAACACACGCGAGTGAGTTTATTATAGTATGTGAAAAAACATTATGATATATGTACCCAACACATGCAACCAATCTAGCTATAAATAGTTAAAATCTGAGATTATTCTTTAGTCGGAATAATTGTGAGAAAAAATGCATATTATTTGTTTGATAGGTGAATATTTTATATATAAAAATATGTTAGCTACTTTTAGAAACTAAAGAATATTATTCAATTACATCAAATGATAAATCTGTTTAGTTTTCAATTTATCCAAGGAATATTTGAGTCTTGATGTTTTATGATGTTTGTCATAAAATATGAAGAATGTATCATAGCACCACAAGAGTTTTGATAAAACTTATTAATACTATAAATTTAGCACTTTTTAATGTCATTCATGTAAATATGAATAAGTATCATTACAGTTTTCAAAGCACAGAATTTGAAGAAGAATTCATCACAACACATTGCTATCACATCAAATATCATGATATGTAAAATCATTTGTAATACATATCATATATCTCAATTTGAATTTTTCATACCATATATCATTGCTCTTTTCTTATTCGTAGTCAATGTTAAATTCAATTTGAGTCAGTGCATATGAACTATATACTTTTTCGGATTTTTGGTTCAGTTGGAGTTTTCGCCTCCAACGACCAAGTTCCATGTGGACGGTGATAAAAAGGGAAGAATACAACATTGCTTGACTCACACGTATATTACACAATTTGCTACATGTATAACAATAACATATGTTTTCATTTGAAGATGTTAATTTACATGAATTGCTCACATTTTCATATTCAAATCAATCTTTGCAATATATGATGTTGAAGCATTACTCAAACATCTAAGTTTACATATAAATTCTACTTCTTTTCATACCAACTTTTTGCAAACTAACACAAAGTCATGCATTCCTGAAAACCATAATAAGCCAATCACTTGATTACAACGACAATCCTTGAGATCAACGATGAAAGATGTGACCAAACATATGACATCATCATCCAATTGCACCGACCAACATAATTTTGACATTAAATTTATGATCAAAATTTTTTTTGGGTTACTTAGAACCATTACATTGCTTATCATTTTTTTTCATGAACTCTATAGTCATAAAGTCTATTTTTCAACACACTGTCTACGTCCTTGAGGGATTTTTCTATTCCTAGAACTTTCTGTTACTCGTGATGCTACATTAGATATAGTGGTAATTGTTGTTTGTTCGAATAAGTAAGAATTAAGATTCATAATCCAATTAGATATGTGATGTTTGCTATGATATGAGAATAAATAAGTCACACGGAAACAGATGTTGGTTTGCATAATAACTATATGTAATTCTGATTAGTCTACAATTTATTCAAAAGTGCTATTTTAATTCTTCATAAATAATGATTATGTATCATAGATTTGACATTATTTAGAAAAATATGTTAAATTATTTTATTAAGAAATATTTTTTTTGTGAATGGGATGATCAAACTTGAATGGAGAGGCAATAAGAAAGATGTGTACAGTAGTTTCAACAGAAAATTTAGCTTCCGAATCATATATATCCATGAAAGCCTATTTAACATTGCTATGAAAAATTGCACTGGACATTAACTTACTAATTACGTAAAATATAACTCTCTTTAGCTCGTAGAAAAAGTGGGGAAAGATATATACACTATTCAAACTATGTAATTTAAATACTTTCTGTCCAGCAGAATATATTTACTACTGAGATGATATTCCGGTCAGAGCTCCATGCCGAGCTTCTTTGGGATTTTTTCATCATTTTTGCTATATTGCTTGCTCATACATTAATGTTGTGTCTTGGGAGGCACGGAAGAATGCAATCAGAGTACGAAAGAATCGGGAAGGTCTTCAGCGAGCGACGCCAACTTCTGAAATTCTCCGCACGGTGACGATGAAGGTTAGCTATAGAGGCCAAGAAAACGGTTCTGTATTCATGACATGGTCTTCGCGTGTTTTTGGGTTGATGCTTTACTAGTTCGGTTGGCATCGAGCTGGGACATCTGATTACAAGTACCGGGGAGGAAAGCAGATGCTCTGCAAGAGAATGTGTTAGAGCATTTCGCACCATACAAGAATAACAAGTAGAAAGCGAGAGCCAAGGCAAGTGATATGAAATAGTGGATTGCAATCAGTTCACAGTGCAAACATGTTCTCTCACAACGATGCTTGGCGCAATGCTCGCCTTGTCTCTTTTTTTACACGAGCATTGAATTCAGACTCATCCCTCGTTGACCTTGATGACGTTCGAACTTGATAAACAGTGAGCGGAAAGCATGGACGTTGATGTACATGTTCATGAGGCGTCATGTTCTCTTGTCTTCTTTCCTCCACATTTGCAAGCTTAAATTATTGCTAGTGAGTGATGCCTAAGCACATGCGCAATATGTAATAGAGAGAGAGAGAGCCGAGGAGAATTAAGGTGTTTCAATCCTGACGATGAAAAGAATTGGCATTGTGTTGTCCATCGTCGGGGCCGAAAGGTTTAAACAAACAACCTGGGTGGTCAGCTTTTGGTTCCATCAGGTCGAATGGAACTGCATTTGTCGAGTAAACTCCAACTTGCGAGGCAACCCGACCGGATTGTACCAGTAAATGCCACTGTCCTGACTTTTAGCGAGGATAGACGACAGGTCGCTCTGGCCCACATCCTCAACAACACTTTTAAATGTCCCAACTACTCTGGGGCTCAGATGTTCAGGTTTGGCGTTCATGATCACAGTTTGGTCACTGAATTCTGTATTCGAGTAGACCTTGGACATGTGACGTTCGTTTGCTGCGATGCAGGGAACGTGCCCTCTTGTATCATGATGCCACTCCCTCGTGCACAGACGAACCTTCCCGCCGCCAGCACACTCCTCCTACCCTCCATGTTCTGCGACTGACTTCTCTCGGGGAATTTCCCGGGTGCTCGAGTGGGGTCAGAAAGGAATCAAGCGCCAACATTTCATGCATCCATTCGTTCGTATGACTAGAGAAGTGTACGTGTGACGTTGTCTTACACCACTAAGATTTATTAGAATATAGATGAATTATGCACATGTAAAGCGAAAAGCGCCCAAGCTCCGTACTAGACATTCGGGTACAAGGGTTTGGATGGATGATCAAGGGTCCTAGGCTATCTTCCTGCGGTGACCGACCCGTGTCGAGCCAACAGTCCAACATCAGGGAAGGGGGCTGGCTTGTAGAAATACGGATGGGAGCCGATGACATTCCACTGTCCTATATAATTACAGTCTTTACATAAGTGGGATTGCGTTTTGAGGAAGATGATCAGTTGCGTGAGAGGTGTATGTACAAATAGAGAATCATCCCGAGAACCGTGTAAGATGTATGTATATTTATGCTCTATAGAATCGATCGAAGGTGGGTGGCTGGCTGGATGGGAGGATGGCTGGGCGGTCGAGCGAGCGAGCGGGCGGGCGGTGACTTTGTACATCCTCTGCAGGAAAAATACAGCAAGTGATCAGATCAGGCCACAGGCTCGAAGAGTAGTCGACGAATGTGGGGTTTGAGAGAGCCGAGGCACCCGGAGCTTCTTTGGCCCAGAATCATGGTGCGGGCCATGTTGAAGTGCAGATGTTTGAGGCAGCTCGGCAACTTCGACGGCTGATGGACCTGCATGCTTAGCTGCAGCATGTCATCATCCACCATGGTCTGCAGCCGCGACAGGACAGCTTCGGCGGTTTGGCCAGGGCTCTGGCCCATTAATAAGGCCACCGCATTCAGCTTCTCTTCGCAAGGCGCCCTCTGCGCACAGAAGGGAAAAGCAAATGGTTGCAAGAACCATCAATGTCAGAGATGGGGGCGGGTTTCACGTCAAGACAAACCATATCTGCGCAATGAATATTAGCCAAAATTAGATCTGCTTTCCGGTATTTCTACTGCAGGTGCAGGTTGCGGTACAAATTGTATTGCGGACGTTGCTCTTGCATCCCACCTTGAAATTCCGTATATCGTCGGAAAGTCTGCCGACACGGTTGGCTAATCGCATGAGGTCTTGAAGCTGCCCTGCCTCGGGGCTGAAGTCATTGTCAGGAATGGACTCGCCCAGAAAGAAAGAGGTGATCAAAACCACAGGCTCCAGAGCTATGGATATTTCGGAGTTTCGCAAATATTCTTCGAAAGAAGGGGCGACGTTGTCCACAGAAAGAGATGCCTTCCACTCGGCCTCTTTCACCATGGACTCCACCCACCGGAGCCACTGCAATGGCAAGCACATCGAAGAACGACTGCATGTCAGCGGCAACGGCAAGCGAGCAGGCATTCCGACAAAATGCATCCATAAATAAAGGAGCGCGAGATTCATGCGTGACAGCCACGGATGTTAATATGTGCACCATATATAGACTATTTGCAGCTCGACCAAACTTACTGTGGCTCGAAAATAAGGCCCAAGGTCGCGGTCCTGTGCAAACAGGCCTTCTTGTATCTGGGCATTAACTGTGTTCCGAAACCCCTCAAATAAGATATTCGTGCTGGCTTTCGCCCCATCGAGCGCCGAGGAATCCCACCTATGGCATCCAATACGGCAGCGCTCATCACAATCACAAACGCAACACTCACACACACACCACGCTCTTTCAAGAGCCACACCTGACGCCGTGGCGCTTCAGGCTGCGCAACAGCAGGACCCAAGAAAGCAAGCAAGCAAGGCTCGGACGAAGGGGGTTGGGTTCTGAATTCACGGAATCTTACGATGTCGTGGCTGCCAAAAATGAGCGCTTCTCTTCTAAACAGCAACCCGCGTCGTCGAAGAAATCACGTATGACGGAGGTGAGGACGCAATTGCGAGCCCACACCAGTCGTGCCACGGCGAGCTCCGGTGCTGGAAGGTGGGTGACAGCAGAAAAATACCACTCATACGTCCTTTGCTTCGCAAACGTCAGCCCGGAGAAGTCACAATCCTGGTTCCATCTGCACAGTCCACAACCGAATCGCACAAAGCATCGTCAGGGCAACCTTCATGAGGCGCGGCGTGCCCGACCGCAGATTCTCTCGCAAGCAGCTGACGTACCTCAGGACTCGCTGTAACTCGAGCTGATGGATGGACTGGCACAGATTGAAGTCGGCCTTGGCCAGGGCCAGATACGTCGTGTTGTTGACGAAGGGCATTCTGCCATGTCACTCCCACAAATCAGTCGCGAGTGCGTGCAAGGGGATCCAAGGCAGTCATCCAGCAGTCATCCAAGGCAGTCAAACAGGTCTCGCGTGCGGCGACCCACTGACCTGTACAGGGTTTTCCCGATCCAAATATCATCTGACCCGTAGTGATCCAAATACGCTCGGGTCTCGATTCGAGGCAGACTGCAGTTCCAAGGCAGATCCAGGGCATATCCGACCTGGAAAGCAAGAGGCGTTAGCGCCACGGTATGTGGGTCTGGCAATCATGAGATCTGATGTGCTAGGGCTCAACGAGACAGGAATGAGTACGTGCGTGCACATGTCACATGTCCCCTCGATTCGGTCAACCGGGCCGGGACTCGCCGTACCTCGCCTTCCAGATCCTTGGTAATGATCCATTTGTCGAAGCATCCTTTCTGGGCGTGCTTCACTTCCAAAAAGCTTCGGGTGAAGTGTAGGGCCTCTTCCAAAATCGTCTCCCCCGGAAAGCGAGTCTGGGCCGCCCGGTACAGATTGAACATGCCGGTGACGGCTTGCCCCGACTGCCCAGCGAAGCAAAAGAATTCTCCGTTGTCACCGCGAAACTGCTTGAATACGTCTGAACAGTACACAGTGGTAGTTAGTGATGGACGATGACGAGAGCAGGTTCGCAAGCTGGTCGCTTTCCTCGTGATGTGGGGAGGCGGGTTGTTGCCTGCAGAGATTGATGGATGGACCGATCTAGTGTTGCTCACATAATCAACGCCCACCCAGACGGCTGCCTAGCGCCGAGCACTCCACCCGATCCCGAGGGATCTGAGGAGCCTCTTTGGGGAACAGGACTCACCCGCACTCACGTCGTAGCCATGCTGGCGCAGGAGGCGGAAGCCCATTGCAGTATCGTCCACGTCCTTGACGTTCGCCGATCTAGCCCAAGATAGGCCGTAATTTGTCCAAAACCTGTACATGGTTGCATGTTCCACAGACAAAGGTTACGCCTTTATCTCCGTCTCTCCGTAGAAAAGTGCCACCCCCATGGAGCTCACATGCACACTGGTGAGAACTTGCAAGCCGAATCATGAGTCTAGCCCGGCAACAACCAGCCAAGGGACGAGAGGAGAGACATACATACCTGTATACATAGTCGAGGCAGTCTTTGATTTCTCTCTCAAAGTATCGAGCGATTCCCAATCGCTCAATTCGATCGACCATCCACATGTGCTCGAATAAGTCTACAGGATAAACATTTGGAACTGCATACCGGCGGTCAACATATTGAGTGTTAGCTCGTGACCGACTATCCACAACTCAGTCTACATGAAATATTATTGACACTGCATATACAAGGGGTCAACCTCCTGGAAGTTGGCTCAAGACCAACCCGAGTCAATAAACGGTGTCAACTGTCCGTAGTCAAGTACGTACATCCATACAAAGCACATATCACATGGCGCTATATAGTTCAGTGGGCCAGAAATATGACGCTGGACGTGGATTTCAAGATCATGGTCAAGTCCTACGTAAGGCATAGGCTCAAACCCGACTTCAGACGAGGAGTAGCTAGGCTAAAGATGCACTGACGACAGATATTCACCTGCATTTCCGAACCGGTTGAGCATGTCTTCGATGTAACCGAGACACTTTTCGTCCTTAGTATACATCAGCGCACAAGCTGTTGACGCTGGAGAACATAGAAAGGACCCATCCTGGCTCTGAAGCTTCAGGAGTTTGTCCCAGTCCAAAATCTCGTGCACACCTTCGAGGGAGTGAAGCAGAGTTGTTGGGTATTTGTGTACAATATCCATCGGAATCCTGCGCACCCACCGAAATTGGCTCAGAACGTGGAGTCATTAGCAGCTGATCAGCTAATTCACGGCCGTAACATCATAAAAGTAGACTGAATCAGACTGCGTATTTCCATGTGAGCGTCCTGACTTTTTGAGCTTCTTCTGCCTCTCGGCTTCGATTGCTGTCACGAATGCGGCTTTGTAGGGCAGAGCGAGTCCGAGCGCTTCGGCATTCTTCATCATTGCCGGGAAAACTATTTCGAACCCAATTGGCATGTGCGCGTCCACCTCAGATTCCAATTTATGGAGGTTTGCTTGAATGAATTTTACACCTGAACAACAGGGAGGTCCCTCTATGTCAACACGCAGAGCTCTTGGAAAAATTGAGGAATTGATTATTACTGAAGAACGAAAACTGAAGTATTAAATCCTGCTCTCACCTTGCTCCACTGCATCTGGGCATGCATCCCAGGTTTTCAAGGCTATTATGCATGCGAGGGTGTTAATAATGCGATCGTAAAATTGGAAAAAGTCCGCATCTCCCCAGGATCCACCACTAGACTGATTGTCAGCTATCCATTGGAGGCACTTTGGAAATTGGGGGCCTTCCGAGCCATCAAGCGCTGGCACCAGGGCCACCCACGCTGTGTCGTACGGCGATATTGAGATTTCGCCATCGCTCAACGAGCGAAACATCATTCGGATCTCCTGAATGTAATCCTTCATCTTGTCCATCTCCTGCGCATGTTTCTGGTAGACGTATGCACACACTTAGCAGGCAGGATTTACCACTTGCCATCTAAGACGTTTCTCTTTCTCACACGTACATATCAGCTTCGTCCTCATTTTAGCTACTCGCATGCTTTGGCCGGCAAAACTGCCTCAGAGTCGATCTTGAGGATCACGACAACAACCCTGAAAACTGTGGACACGAGACGTCCATCCACCAAAATGTGTGGTTCCAAACCTCGAGATGATGCATACCTGGTAGAAAGTCTCCAGAGGGTTAACGGATGTTCCAGTAAAGATGTCCTGAATCTTCGATAACTTGGTGGACAAGCTGGAAACTGGAATGGTTCACAAGAGAGCGAGAACGTCACAGGTAAGAAACGACGTCGGAATACTTCAAAACATGTCACATTCATGCCTGGTTCTCGCATAATGAATTGTCAACTGTCAGGCTCCAAGCACGAGTTCCGCGAAATCTGTCCACTCCACGGAAACCGACAGGGAGTGTCCAGCTTTCACGTACCTGAGTCCGTCTTTGCACGGGAGGCGTGCAATTGGGAAGAGGGATCAGATGAAGAAGACCTCGAAACCGCAACTGCATTTGAATTATATATACACGGGTCAGCTTGCAGTGCTCCAAAACCCCTGCAGGGAGCCCTGACTGAAGGCCGAGACCGAACTCCAAGTGACCAGTGAGCATTATACATTCTCACGGCAGGAAGGACTGAACTCATAATGACCCTGAGTAGCACGAGAGTTTTCTCTGAATAGTACACTAACACATGATAAGCGACGGGAAGCATCTGTCATGGAACGAGGACGTTGCAAGCCACAGACCTGAAGCTAGAAATTCAGATAGAGAAAGGAATGTACCGGGATGCACAACTTCATTTCTCGAGCATTGAATGATGACGTTGGTGCTGGAGCTGGCGCTGGACCGGCGGGTCCAGTGTCTCGGTATACGGAGCTGCTGTGGATGCTGCTCACAATTGTCTGTGCGTGCCTTTCTGGAACATACTGATGACGACACCACACTTGCCTCAAAGAGGCCTCTACCTGCTAACGAGAATGCCATAGTCCTAAGAGCTCGACAAAGTTTGACTTGGCTGCGAAATTGACTGCGGTCGGTGGGTTGAGCTACGTCTACGAAGGGCCCAGCTGCACGATAACCTGGAGAACTAAAACGGGGAGCATCCTTAGCCTAGTCGTTGGAGGACACAAAAATGGGATGAGTTGTCGAAGAGAGAAGAAACAGCTGCGGATGTCTGTTACGTATTTGATTGATTCACTGTTCTAAAGCGTCAGCCACGAAATCCACCCGCTGAAATTGCAACTCCTCAGGGCTAGAACGCAGCAGCGCAGCAAGGAGATCTGAACGGGCTGGGGTATATGACGAGAGCTACATGAGCACGCTTCCGCTGCTCAGCACTTCCTACTAGTCCCGACGAACTGTTCCGAGGGAGCGCTGAAGATGTTCATGTTCACGGCTGCGTGGCAACCTCGATGGTGCATAAATCTTAACATGCTGCTTGCGGCCTGACTCGCTGACTGACTACCTTACTGACTGACGTTGAATATACTTGTAAGACGAAACTGCACACCCGGGGTACTTATAGTAGCTAGCATCCAAATGCGACACAGGCACGACCGCAGGCAGGCAGGCAGGCAGGCAAGCAAGCGGGCAGTAGGCAGGGAGACGGGAGACGGGAGGCTCAATCCTCAATCCATTCAAGCGCGTCCCATCTGCTGTGCGCTTCGTTCACGATGAACGAGAGAAAAGTTCCTTTTCAAGACAGCAGCATATACCTCTCTGAACGTCCCAGTGTAGAGAGGCATGGGCATTGCACCCATGCGCAAATGGTAGGTCTTCTCGCCTGCGTCCTGACGTGCTTGATGTAACAACGAAAATCACCAAGGCGCGATGCGTGACGCAATCTAACGGCTGCTTTGCACGAAGGTTCTGAAACGGACTGGTTTGACAGGCGGAAATTAAACGGGCACCAAGTAAGCTTAACAGCGAACTTAGAGATTCGTGTTACAGCGCTGTACTCTCCAGTCTAGATCGCCTGCCTCCTGTCCTCTGCTCCCCTCTGAGCATGAAAGCCCCGCAGTTGTTCTGAAAGCAAGGGGACAGCAGCACTGACTGCTACTCTGACTTCTGTGCTCTTTAGTAGCTAGTAACTTCTGAATATCTGCCGGCTTCGCTGTGGCAGTTATCAACCTTACGAACCGGACAGGTGAAAACAAGGCGGGTGTGAAGCTACAAGACCCACGACCTTGGTCCCGGAAGTTCCGACTGCCCTTGGCTCAAGTGCGATCCTGGTATTGAGGATTGAGCTGACTCCTGTAGGACACCTTGGGCAAGGCTCCAGGCCTCCAGGTCTCCAGCTTCTACTGACGATTATTCCAACTCATGATGCTAAGTTCCGAGCCGGTCAGATTCACTTTGATCTTCGGAAGCAACAAATGTGCGCTGAACGCAGCGCGGTAGTCTGCAGGATCCCCGGATAGGTTCCTCAGCTCAGGCAAGCTCCGAAATGCCATCCCGTGCCGGGAGACCCGCGGTGACTCGGGGTAGCGGACGTTTCCAACTCAGCGGTGGTGCCAAAGCTGCAAGAGCGGCAGCATCGAGCCCGCGAATCTGCGCTCTGTATGCCCTTCTCACTCTACGTAGATCCTAACGCAGTCCCATCGCAGATCCCCTCTCTCCTCTTGTCGTTCACCCTGTGGATATTTTGGTTGCCTTCCCCTTCCCTGCAAATCTGAAATCTACCGCAGTCGGATCGCACAACGCCTACCGCGGTGCTGTAGTGCCACCAGACTAACCAGTCGGCATTAATGGTTAATTCTACGTATTGAATCCATCCATGCGAGAACAAAGATCCATGCTTCGCCGATGCCTTGGCTTTTCTTGTGCTGCGCTGTCATCGGAAGCCTGGGTTCGTAATTCGCTAACCACTTCTTTTTGTCCAGACGTGGGGAGATACCTGAGCGTCGACACTTCGGGCATATAACGGAATAGTGCGAGCGAGGCAATATAAAAACAAGGGCGTCGAACGATTTTGCGTACTTCTGTCTCGCTACCTTTTGTGCGCCCACTTGGAGGATACCCGAAAAGTTCCATCGTCTTCTCTCATGTCAGGAAATTTTCTCCCCTGTTCACATGGTGCACACTGCCCCCATGTGACGAGTATATGGCAGCTGGATCTTTTAACAATATTCAAAAGGGCGAAGAACCCTCTTTTTATCCACCCATAATTATTTTCTTCTTAATCCATCTTTCCCGTCGATGTTTCTCTTTTCCTGCTCCTTTCGCCGAACTTTGGGAGATAAAATCCTCGCTCTCGGTCGCGTGTAGGCTTTCCGAGTTCTTCCCACCTTCCCTCGTCTTTCTTGCTATCTCTGAAATAAGGGAGACCACGTGTACAATAAAGATAAAAAAATCCTATGGCCGAAAAGGGACTAGCTCTCGCTTCTTCTTATTCATTTTCCTCTTTGTCCTGCCTAGCACTCTTGATGGAGCTTCTCCTTTTGTTCGCTATTTTGGCCGCAAGGTTTGCTATTTTTGCAAAATGCTGGATATGTTTTAGATTCATGTTGAACTTTATAGCTACCTGGCCAACAGATTCGATGTCTGTGGTGAACACGCCCACCACAGTGGCCCAAAGGAGTAAAGCGACGAAGAAGGAAGCTCGAGTCAAGCCGAATAGAAAAATATAAACTCTTCTCGTTAGTCGCATGGCACCCGGAGAGAACACATCGATCAGGTGGTTGTTGACCGGAAAGTATACCCCTCTCGCGGTAAGTTGAAAAGTTTTGGCATAACGAGTACGAATCCTTTAATAAAGGCAAACATGAAGTCCCTTCAAAGGACGACTTCAGGTCATTTCAGGAAAAACTTAATTGTTTACATGACTGAACAGAAGAAACATGGGAGCAACATTTCAGGCCGAACGAGTACTGTGTACCACCAAATGTCCCTAGATGTCGGGAATTTGGAGGGAAAAAGTCGCCTGTGGATAACCACTTTTCTTTTAATTACTGTACTCTACGCGACATGAGTTTTTCCCGTTCATACTTCCCCTCATGCTGACGCTTGAAAATGGCCGGAATGCAGTCGCTCGGATTTGATGGCCAAAATTTGTGCTTCAACCAATTACCCCTAAGACTGCGTGTATTACTAATCTGTGAAGGATATTTATAAAGTTCGAGGCATGTTCTCCAAGACTTTCTTTTTCTTGGCGATTCAGCAAAGAAGCAGATATCAGTACATGCTCAAAGAGAAGTCCATATGGATCAAAACTTTAGACTCGATCTCAAGTCATGAAGACAAGTCCATATGGATCAGAACTTTAGGCTCGATCTCAAGTTATGAAGAGAAGTCTATATGGATCAACACTTTAGACTCAATCTCAACTTACGTAGGCTCACGTAAGGTTTCATTGAGATTTTTTTTTGGAATATATTTTATATATTTTTGGAATCTATTGAAATTTAACATCTCGTAAATTACACTGCAAATTCCTGATATTTATTTGCACCTATAAATAGATAGTTGTCTTATGATATATATATTCTATCTTTGTATATTCTATAGTACTATCCATAAAATATTGAAATTCGACTTATAAATCTACATATATAAATCTATAAAAAAAATCTACAACAAAAGTTGACATATGCACCTTTATAAACTAGAACTAACTACAATTAAACCATAGTCAAAACATGATATAGTCAAAATATATATTTGAAGAAAAAAATTGCAAATAAATTTTATTTTTGTACTTTATGTGATACCTGCAAAGTAGCACAATGTTTAAAAAATAACTTTGATATATACATCAACATGATTGAGTTTGACGAAGATCTTGATTAGCTCAACCTTCTTATTAAGTAATCTATTTTTTATGAAGGGATATTTTATTTTGATTTTTATTCACTCTACTATCCATTACTTAATTTGCTGCAAGAGATAATGCAATCTAACTATCAGAATGAAGATTGAGAACATTCTATTTGCAATTTCATTCTAGTCATTCATGAGTCTGATTACTTATAAGCTTTTTTGATCAAAAACAATCCTAAGCTCTGATCTAAATATTTTATCTAATTATCATGAATGTATTTTATACTTGTCAAGATTAATATTACTAAATTATTTCTAGTATTTTTCAAAGCATAAAGTGTTTTTCTCGAATTTGATCCTCAACTCTACATATCTGTGTTTAGAAACTTCAAATTTTTTGCTATACATATCTATATTAGAAAAGCCATCTCTTGATCTACATATCATCCAACAAAAAAGTCACTGGCATTTTTTACATATTTCTATTATGAAATACATTTCTTGCTCTAAATACCAGGCATCAAACAAATCATCTTATACTTTATGGATCAATTTTGGACTTAAATCATCAACTAAGGCGCCAAAAATTTTAGGTTTTAATGATTTAAGTTATGATAATTTGACTGATTTTGACATCAACAATCCTCTAAGTATTAGAAATCTTGTACCAAGTATCCATTCTGTTGGCATGTGGCTCGATGAAAAGCAAAATGCAATTGTCAATTTGATATATTTGACCAACGATCTCCTGTTCATGAGTCATTCACTTATCATTGTGATCAATATTAATACTATATCAAGTGATTGTGTATAATATAAATTTATTGGGGATTACATAACAAATCATTGCAATCTTCATATGACTTGAAAAAATATAATCATTTATACAAACGTTGCAAGAGACTAGTTCAAGTGTTGATTAGCAAAATGATGATCATGACGTTTCGAAGAATGTAATATAACATAATCAACTACAATGGATAAGATGACCAGTTATTCCAAGAGAGATAAGTCAAAAAACAATCCGAAGTCTATCACTCTAGGCAAAATATTGAGGGCTAAATCCTTAATTTTCAATAATGACAACTATATGAATTATAAACAAAATGTGAATATATTTTTACTAAATTTTCAATGATGTATGATCATTGTAAAATGTTTTTTAAGGTAATCAAATGATATTTCATTGCAAAGAATTGTCAAACAAGTTGTATATCTATATAAAAAAGTTTAATAAGATTTTGATGAAAATTGAAAATCACATTAATCACTTTGATGATTTTATTATTGATATGTCAAATCTTAGAGACAAGATAATTGATAAAAGTCAGATTCATCATTTTTAAGCTCATTACATGCATATTTTAAGTCGTTGCCATTGATGTTGCTTCATTATGATAACTAGAAAATCATTTACAATAAAATTGTAATTGATATGGTAAATGATAATAAAAAACAAAATTAAATGATACCATATACTCTAATCTATTCATCCAATATGACATTGAGTTTTCTCATTCTCATATAATAACAATGATGATAGGAATATTAAATTATAAATATTGTGAAATTTAGGGATAAAATTCCAAAAAAATAATATTTTGTTGCAATTAAGGTTTGCCCCATACCTATACATGTATAATAAGTTATACACTTTATATATGTATAATTTGTACAATGAAATGCATTATACATGTATATTTCCGAACAAGGAAGGTTGGTTTTCCTAGCCATACAGGG